GAAGATATTATTTCGACTGGTGGTTTCTCGACAAAAAAATTAACCTGGTACGCCATTAATAGTGAAGCGTGTCCTCTGAAATCTTACCCACATACCCAGTCATTCCATTATCATGGCTGCAGAGTCGCGTATGCGTAACATGAACAAATACGGTTGGTAGGATAAAACGATTGCTGAAAAAAATCCCGTCGGAAGCCTCATCTCCAAAACGCACGAATCTGATCGCTTCAACACTCGCATAGGAGTAAAAATGTTTTACAAGTGAAGATTTCAAATACAATTTACTTACGTTAAATAGAAAGAAGAACTATGCCCTCTATACCAAGCTTCCTGTAAAGCAAAGAGAGATAGTTCAAAGTAATACTGAAAGTATTTTTTATTGTAAACATAATATCTCGACTTTTTAGACTCCGATCTCTATTTGCTGAACGAACTGGTGTCACAAATAGAGTCAGACTCCGACACTGTGGTGGATGTATACCGCACAGCATCCTTGCACCAGTTCCGGCGTGCGGCTGTCATCCTTGAGAAACTCGCTGAGCGTACACGAATCATCAGGGAACGCTGGCCAGAGGTAACATTATTTAAATTGCAACTCAGCAATACCATATCAAGACAACCATTTGATAAAAAAAGCACATTTATTCCGTTTCCAGACCCATTTGCTCAAAAGTTCCACTTGTGATAGGGTTATATGTCATAAAAAGCTTTGCTAAATGAAAATGTCGGCCGATTTGTTCTCCAGAAAATCAACATATTGACGGTCTGAAAGTAATATATAGGATTTTTGGGCAGTGGCATGTTGTATTACACTTATGTTCGGTTTCTAATTTAAATCTGTCTGATTCATCAAGGAGACGCGTATAGACATTGTAGTAATGCCATCCGTAAATTCAGACAACAGTTCACAGCGCATCGTAGAAGTGCTTAGACAGGGGCTACTCAAAGCTGGAACAATGTCTTCGAGAAACAATGCGTTTTACAGGTCGTTTTCAGCAGAGTCTGAATAGCGGTTAGTTAGAAGACAAACAATCCGATTAGTTGTCAGAGATATTGTCCGTAGGCTTGAGTTGTCTCCTTATGTTCAATAAGAAAAAAGCATGCAATATGTTGTAATATGTACTGGAGGTAATTATCTGCAAAATTGGTTGGTTTAAGGAAATGTAAAGTAGTCCGTTCCTCGTACGCGTGTTAAATAAAACCATGTGCAATAGAGGGATATTTCGTATTTCAAAACAGCTTAAGTGCCAGAAAATCAGGTGAATTAGGTCTTAACTGAAAAGTACCTGCAGATGTTGCGCAGAAAGTATGAAGTTTAATTTGTTTATTTGTTTATTACAGCATGTTTCGTTGAAGTTGATACTTGATGCCATCAAAGACTTCAAGAGTGCCAGCGTGTCCACCTCTCACATGAAAATGGCAGTACTAGTTGAAAACATCATAGGCATGTTTGTTACAATGTCATTCTGCTATGCATACATTTCTACGAAAGAGTAAGTGAATAATTTTTATCCTATTTTAGAGCAGTGTGAGGAATGGGAAAAAATAGCTGACAGAGCCAATTCGCTGAATAATGAACTAGCAAGCGTTCGAGAACTTCTTCTCGATTGGAAAAAAATGGAGGTAAGGATGCGCCGAGATTCGGATTATCTTCGCATATTCTCTTCAGTTTGTAGGCTTTTTTTCTGTAAAAGTTTGACAGGTCCGTTGCTGGGGTGAACTGCTGAATCGAACTGAGAACGATGCACAAATCAGCGCCTTGCTTGTCGCATTTCCTCTATTTGATGCTCTCTTCAAAGCAGACTGTGAGTGGTATGTTTCTCATTAAGTCCAGAAGTATTGTCATCTTTCCAGCGCCAGAGTCATCTGTTGCCTTGTGCGCTATGGCAACAGAGTGGATCACTAATGCAATTCTTTTGGACTACAAGGTGCGAGTCAGAACGGTCCGCTTTCTTGCCAGATGGGCTGCATTAATAGAGAAGTCGTCGCTCGGACTCAAACTAGGCTCAATTGCTGCGCACTTTCAACAGTACATAGTGATTATAGAACAGAAGCTTCGTGAAGCTAGGTTTGTTATTCAAAATCTGTTTACACGGTCAAAACTTTAAGAAATCTTTAGCAGTATTGGTTTTCTTAGTGCTCATCGCGTCATATTTTCACGACTTCATTTCTCCCCGCTGTTAAATTTACATAACCTTTACACTTTAAAATGGTAGAATTTCCAGAGAACCAGTCGAATTCAACCTGAGAGACTATGTAAAAATTGTGAAGTACAACGATTTAAACCTATGGAACATTAAAGTATCTTCACAAAAAGCTCACACTCATTTGTTCAAGGTCGTCCGCAAATTTAAGGTATAATCATTTACTAATCTAGTTTAAGGAATTACCAATCAGTAGACCTCGCAATCCGATCACAGTGGATTTAATGTAACTCAACTAGCTGTTTACAGGAAGCCGTTGGGCTCCAGGTTGCACAGTACTTTGACATGTTGCTTGATATAAACGTCTCGGAACTTTCACAACCTTCTGTTTTGTTTGAAGCAGATTTTGAAGGACGCGTACGTAGAGCAAAGCATTTAGCTGCTGACATTGTCACTCACGGTAAGCTAATTGCCTGCTTTTCGATAGCACAGATCACCGGATTTCTCCAACAGAAAAGTATGTTTCAGCTGAGACACTTTGCGATACTACAACTGCAATGGATTTGACGGAACAAATAACATCCTGTGATGAGATGATAAGAGTGCAAATCAATTACCAAGGAGAGGATGAAGAAAAGGTTCGATACGCACTGTCTTATATGTTAAGAGTTTCTCCAGTGAACTACAGGTTACTTATATAT